TCACACGGCTCATTTACCCAGCGACAATGGCGCAGTAAATTCATTCATATCTGCAGCGGCGGCTCCGGCGGCCCAGACGATATACTGGAAGCTGCGGTTTTAACGTTTTTTTTTTATTTATAATGCACGCCGTCAGTGTAATAGTGATACGGAACTCTTTGTTATGGTGAAATAATGTTGGAATACCAACAATTGTTTCAGCTAATTAACCCAAAAGGAACTTTATTTTTACAATTTGCAAATGTTTTATTAGTTGGTATAAAATGCCTTATTTAGCTTTATTTTTATTTTGGTATTTTTATATTGTGTGTCATTAGTTCCAACTTGTAGTGTTTCCGTTTGTCACACAGTTCCATAATCCTTTAATGAATATGTACATGTTTTAGACAAGGAAATATAGAGTTGGACGCGACTTTTTGTTTCGACTAGCTCAATTCATCACTATAGATGCTAAATATTATGTACAATAATATATTAGTTTCCACAGTCAAAAATGGGGGGGGAGAGATTGTTTACAGGGTGGTTAATTGTATAATTTTTACGTAAATTCACGTTTTTGTGAAGGATATAAATTGTTAATTACATGTTTTATCTGTTGCTTAAATTAATTAAAACTGTAAATCCTAGCCCATAATATTCAAACTTAACAATTTATTAAAATATAAAGCATTTTGTTAATGTAATGGTGCTGTTTGTTATAGTGAAATAAGCCAATGATCTTAAAGCATTTTTTTTTCAATTTGTAAATGTCTCATTAATTTGTCATTTATTTGTACGTTATGAGAAAACGGTGTCCTGTTTTCAATGATTCAGATACCATTTAAGGCAATGCTACAGATATCCAGTGTTCCTGGAATACAGTCATAACAAAGACTTTCCGTTAGAAATTAAACTAATTACATATTTCATCAAATTAAATACCAACTACTTTTGGAATTCACACAGTGATTTGATGAAATGAGGTTAATGAAAAAACTGTATGACCGATTTCTTTCTTTTTTTTTGAGGTTAGGTTTTGCCTTACCTCTGCGTTAAAACCGCAACCTGTATGCTGTAAAGGAATTCGAACCCTAACCTAATTCTCAAATTGCGCCTTTGACTCCTGAGCTAACGCAACTCCTATTACTGCGTCAATTCCTTTTTATATTAAAACTTTCCCCATCATAACACAGCCACACTAAAATCAAACCTAAAAGTCCAAACCTAAGAGAGCTAAATATAAATTCCGAAGGAATTAGATGCGCTGAGCACGATCTTATATAGTCAAAATTCACTACAAATTTCGGAGGAAAGTGAAATTTTTGTGTGAAACTGGTCCAAATATAAATCAAAACTGATTTTTTGTCTAAATTGTGTCCAAATATAAGTATTATTTTTGTAATATTTCGATGAACCGAATACAACGTCATTAGTAAAATTTACCCATGACCTCTATTTTCTCAGAAAATTCACTTTTTGGGTAAAAACTGACCCAAATATGGGTCAAAACTGATTTTTCCTAGACTGTTCAAATATATAATTTTCATAGTATTTTTAGTCACTCAACACGATGGTATTAGTAAAATTTACCTGTGACCTCCATATTTCTCAGAATATCTACTGTTTGGGTGAAAACTGGCCAAAATACTACGAAAATTATATATTTGGCCAAAGTTTTGGAAAAAAACAGTTTTGGGCCAGGTTTCACCCAAATAGTAGATTTTCTAAGATATATTAAGATCATGGGTAAATGATATATATTCGCACAAAATTTTAGAAAAAAATCAGTTTTAACTCATTTTGGACAAGTTTCACCCAAATATGTCACTTTTCTCCGAAATTTGTGGTGAAGTCATATTAACTACATACAGGAACCTGTTCATTGAATTGCTTCGGAAATGATATGTGGCTCTCTTGGATTTAGACCTTTTTTTGTCGCCGTGTAAGCGTTCTAATTTGAATATCATGTACTTATAAATTTATATTAATATAGATTATAAGTACTAACTTAGAATTGATAGAATATTGTTACATTACATCAAAGTATTTTTGAAAATTACTATGAACAATCGATGCTGTTGCTGCCCTGAGTTCGGTAAAAACAAAACTTAACTCAACTTATCACACTCGTATGTCGATGATACATTGATTGAACCCCAGAAAAAATGCATCTTTTATACTTATTTTTTTTTAATTTACAAAAATGTAACAAAATAAACGAAATATTAAATAAAATTTCAATTTCGGAATTATTTTACTATTATTAAATAAATAAATGAAGCTATAATTCATTTAAAAAGTTATTTTTTAATTTAACATGTCTTATTTTGTAGATAATTTTATTCCCTACAAGTTGTCTGTGAGTCACTTTTCGTTAAAATTGATGGTTTTCCCTGCAAAGTGAAGAAACTGTTTTCCTCACTTATTTGTTTAAATAGAAAAGTTAGTTATTAAAATTTTTTGACTCACGACATGAGAGATGCCTTGTATTATGTTCCTTTAGACAATTTTACAATAATATCGCGGACAGAAATTTTTTCGAGTTTCTCTTTTTTTCGCTAATTTTCCAGGTCTATTAAGGCTTCGGTATAAGCGGTATTCTAGCAATTTTTCATAATTTCCGGCGATTTTTCTCAAATAATCAGAAAATGATTAAGACATTATTTGTCCCAAATAAATTTTCCCAAAACAATGTTAATGTCGATTAGTCGGCTTTCCTATAATTTCTCAGGGTTTTCTGTAATTTTTGGTAATTTTGTTAAATCCTGTATTTGCTGAAGTAAAATTTATTCGGCTTCAACTTGTCAAAATATACAGGGTAGCCCATCGAAAACGTACCGCAAGGCATTACAGGCTAGTAAAGAACTTTTCGGCAAAATCCAAAAACAGGTAAAATTTGTTTCTGAGGGGGACAACTTTTGGCTCAAGAAGCATACCAAAATCTTCAACCCCCTAAGTGGGGGTGCTATCCCCTAAGTTTTTTCAAATGGGAATGGGGGTCAAGTGGGGGGTCATTAGAAAGGGCTTTTAATTCTCTATACATCGATTCTTACTTTTTGAAAATAGATTCATTATTTTAGGAAATATGCAGCTTTGAAAATACGAACAATGTTTTTGACGAGAAATGCGAAAATCGATTTAATTTTACTTCAAAACTTACGGTCAAGTAAATGCTGAAAATGTTGTCCGTCAACTTGCATACAATGATACAGGTTGTCTTCAAACCGTTGTCGAACATTCTGGAGCACTTGCGGTGTTACTTCGCGACATACATTAATGATTCGTCCTCGCAGATCTTCCAAGGTATCAGGTGGAGTGCTGTAAACTTTGCTTTGAATGTGCCCCCAGAGAAAGAAATCTAAAGGATTTAAGTCGGGTGACCGAGGGGGCCACTCAATTGCACCTCTTCGTCCTATCCAGCGTCCTGGAAACGTCTCATTTAGGTAATTGCGCACATTGAGCGAGTAATGTGGAGGAGCTCCGTCTTGCTGGAAAATCAGTTCGTGTTCATTGTAAGCAGGGTCGTCCTCTATGATATTTGTTAGAGCTGGGTCGATGACATTTTGTAGTAAATCCAAGTACATATCGCCTGTCAAATTTCCAGGAAGGAAAAAAGGACCTACAATGGAATTTCCAAAAATACCTGCCCATGCATTCAACTTCTGGGGGTGTTGGGAGTGTGTCTCATGAAAAATCCTTGGATTGGTATCAGCCCAGTAACGACAATTATGGCGATTCACTAAACCATTCAAGAAGAACGTACACTCGTCCGAAAAAGACACATTAAAGAGGAAATTATCGTTTATCGCTCGTTCAGTCATTATTTCGCAAAATTGCAAACGACGATCAAAATCGTCTTCATTTAGTTCTTGCACTAGTCCAATCTTATAAGGATGGAATTTGTATTTTTTTAATATTCGTTGCACACTTGTACGACTCACTCCTGTCGCAGTAGCCAATTGCATTGTACTCAGCGTACTATCCATTGCCACTTGCCCCAATACCGCTATTTCCGTAGGTTCATTTAGTACCGGATTTTCAACCTGCCTCTTTTTGTTATGAACGGAGCCAGTTTCGCGAAATTTGGCCACCAATTCGCGAACAATTTTTCCAGACGCATGTTTCTCAGGATGCCGTTGGTTGAACAGTTCGGCGACCCGATTTCCGCATTCATTGTTTTTGAAAAAAAGCTAAATAATTTCTACTCTTTCTGGAATTGAGTACACCATAATTAATCAATTTAAAAGACTTGGCAGTATTGGTACTCTTCAACTATAAGTCACAAGACAGTTATCTAGCAACTTCTTGTGGCCTATCTAAATACGAAACAAAAAGCGGACAATTTTTTGCTCACCAGAATCAGGCTAAAGAATTCGCAAATCAGAAAAAAAACAGCGAATTCTTTTGAAGGAATTTACCAAGCTAATACCGTAAGTTTTGAAGTAAATTTAAATCGATTTTCGCATTTCTCGTCAAAAATATTGTTCGTATTTTCAAAGCTGTATATTTTCTAAAATAATGGATCGATTTTCAAAAAGTAAGAATCGATGTATAGAGAATTAAAAGCCCTTTCTAATGACCCCCCACTTGAACCCATTCCCATTTAAAAAAATTTGGGGGATGACACCCCTACTTAGGGGGTTGAAGATTTTGCTATACTTTTTGCGCCAAAAGTTGTCCCCCTCAGAAGAAAACTTTACCTGTTTTTGGATTTTGCCGAAAAGTTTATTACTACCCTGTAATGCCTTGCGGTACGTTTTCGATGGGCTACCCTGTATATTAGCCAATGAGGTCTTCAGATCAGCTTCCTTTTTTGTTTTTTGTGTCTGTGTTGTGACAATAATTATAATACAGGACATAATCGTAATTACTTATCACATTTCATGACAAACACCTCGGACGGGATATTCCATAGCGTATGAGAGAATTACCAATGTAAGCGTAATTAAGGTTTTTAATTATGAAGCTCTCAGTTGAATATTATTTTAATTGCCCAATGAATTCTAATGTATTAAGGAATTATGGAATCATTATATCATCAGCACCTACTATCACTACCTGACGACTGTAAAATAAATCTACTAAATTAGTTTTCCTTACAAATCTAACTTATTATTTCCTTTCCAGCGTCGCGGAGCCTATTGGGATTGGCCGAGTCGGAGAGCGGACTGAAGTCGCGCTTCGTGGAGCCGATGAAGGGACCTCACCAACGGCCCTACTTCGACGACGTCGGCCCACGGAACGTGACGGCTGTGGTGGGCCAGTCGGCCCTGCTCAACTGCCGCGTCAAGCACCCGGGCGACAGGACGGTGAGTACAGATCATGTTTCAGCGGCCATTTGACGGGAAGTCGGCCGCAACCGGTCGGGGGCACTTTTGACACGTGGCCGAGGGGTTCGGCTCGGGAGGGACAGGAAAATTGATTACTGCGGGGACATCGATGGATTATCTGAAACAGTTGAATGTTTTTGGAAATATACAGGGTTATCCAAAAGTTCTGGTACAGCAGAAAAACTTTCGAAGAAAGCATTTTGGGAAAAAATTTTTCAGACAAAAGTGTAAAGATTTTTAACTGGCTATTGATGGTGACCTTGGATTTTGACCTTCAAGGTCATTTGAAGGTCAAGTTAAGTTTTTTAAATGGAAACCCCTATTTTTTATTGCGTATTTGGAAAGAGCAAGAAATTTTACATCCAAATATGATCTTGATCATGACTTTGGCAATCACCTTGCTCTTTCCCAATCCGCAATAAAACATAGGGGTTCCCATTTAAAAAACTTAACTTAACACTCAAATGACCTTGAAGGTCAAATCCAAGGTCACCATTACATAGCCAGGGAAAAATCCTTACACATTTGTCTGAAACATTTTTTCCCAAAATGCATTCTTCGAAAGTTCTGCCGTACCGGGACTTTTGGAGGTCGACCCACATTTGAACTCGAAGGTCATTGTCAAAGTAATGGTCATATTTGGACGTAAAATTTCCTGCTCTTTCCAAATCCGTAATAAAAAATAGGGGTTTCCATTAAAAAAAATAACTTGACCTTCAAACGACCTTGAAGGTCAAAGTAAAGGTCAAATCCAAGGTCGCCATCAGATATCCAGGGAAAAATCCTTACACTTTTTTCCCAAAATACTTTCTTCGAAAGTTTTTCTACCGTACCGGGACTTTTGGATAACCCTATATAAGTAACAGATTAGTAGAGTGTAACACAGTTAAGTAGTTGCAAGCGCAGTCTTTGATTCACCTTCAATTTTACACATTTAGCGAGAACTGTTGTAAGTTCCTTCTCCCTTGAAATCAGTTACATAACCAGAATCATTAGTAAAAGAGTATGGTCTTGCTACTTTCGTCAAACCTTTCCCTTTTAGATCTAGTACATTTAAAAATATCTGTCAACGTGCACATCTACAGTTCCAGTCAAAATGTAAAAGCTGGCCTTTCTTTCGCTGTGTCCCCCTCAACTATCAGCATTGATCTACCGGTATCCTTCCGGTATCCTTTACTTAGTAAAATTTGACAAAGGTTATTGTCTCGTCCATGGTTCTAAAAGTTTCACTGAAAGTTGCACTTGATTTTATAAGCGAATGGTATAGTGGATATCAAAATATTTGCTAGTAAGCAACTTCTGTAACCACTGATTTACATTGTATAGAAATTTACACTCTCCCATGAAATTGATTTTATTATTTGTATCAGTGGCGGCTCGTCAGATGACGCAAGTGACGCACCGCTCAAATTTCCGTTTGGTTTGCAATCTAAAATTATTTTATAATTTAGGTATAATTCTATATTGAAAACGTATTGTGTTTGCTTGTTTAATACGCAGAAATAAACAGAATAGTTGCGCGGCGAACGCCTTCTAAAAAAACATTGCCTTCGTTGAGCGCGAACATCAACCTCGGACCATACAACGTATAGTATTACGCAAGTGACGCAGATTGAAATGCGTCCATATTCTGCTACTCTTCGTAGCTTTGTTTACGGCGGTTGACATGGCAACGAAGTGGCCAATACGTGATTAAACTACGGCGTAGGGGAACGAGTGACGCAGAAATTGAAGCAGCATCGCCCATCGCCTGCCTTTAAAGACGGGTATCCAGTTGTGGCAATGCTTCGTAACGTAACAACGAACATGTTACGGCCTGTTGCAAAAGGTGACACGGTTCGCTGCGAAAGTATGTGCGGTTTTGGTCGTATCATTCATTCCATAACGTAACAAAATAATGTTACTAGACGACATTGGAACATAAACTCGCAGTATGAACCTGACTGCAATAATAGATTCGTCAGTGCAATTGCAGTTAGCAGCAGCGTCATATATTTTTATTCATCATACAATTTTGAAGAATAAGAAACGGAAATCCTTTCTTCACGTACCATGCAATAATTTCCCGTTTCCACTGGCTGTAACGTCACATGTTCGGTGTTACCTTACGGGGCATTTGACACAAATGAATACCCGCCTTAACAATTTCAGTTAATACGATACGCGTCGCCCAGTGCACGATTGTAACGGTTCTTTGTTAATATTTGTTTTGTATAATAATTGTAGAAATGTTTCCTATGTATGATCCAGTATGTATTTTATTGGAAACGGCATTTTCCAGATGGAAAATTGAGGACAAAAAGGATATTTTAAATTGCGAGAGACATGTGCCTTATTCTCTCGATATACGTTCGAAAGTTTGGGAATGAATGGTATTCGGAGTATAAGTGGTTGTGTTTAATTGTGAGTGTAAAGTCGGGCGTGTGGAATAAGAAAGGATTTAACAATTTTTGGAACGTCACGCGAGGTTGTCGTAACCACAAAGCTTCTTTGGAACATACATGTACGATGTGCGTTAATGTTCGCAGAAGTCCACAAGCCGAACTAATATTTCTATTTTTTATAAAATCTAAATGAAAACCCTTCTCACAAACGTCAGTTTTTCAGTAATATTGCAAATACAACTAAAAATTTCCAGATTCATTTAAAGCCGTTTGACCTTGAAAATTTGAAAATTTTCGCCAGCGGCGCTTTTTTTTTCTTTTTAGTCAATCAATGAATATGCTTCACCTATTCTCAATGTCACGAGCCGCCATTGATTTGTATTGGTATCTTATCTAAAGTATAATTCAGCTTAGACCAAATAGAAAAAATGTTAAAAATTACATGTTAAAAACGTGAATAACTGTAACAATACAGGGTGTCCCGAAATTAAGGGACAATATTTCTACAGAGCGTTCTATGTCCAAAAAGATTACTTTTTCTTCCTAAGAAGTTATAGCCACTTAAAGGGGATAATTATGGAATTTGGTAACTGGCTTCATTCTTACGTATTCAGTCCGCTCCTAAAACGAAATCTACAAATTGTCCAAATTTACCATAACTTTTTTATGCTTTGACTTTTTGATTTTTGACTGAAAAGTATGAAATTTTTAGTAAAAAAGGCACTCTTTGTTCATATTGGTAGAATGTTCAATTTTTGTGTAAAATCCGTTTAAAAATAATGTTACATGTGTTAATCACCGGGATTCGAATTTGTCAATATTTTCTATCGTAGTAGGTTGTGAAGAACAAAAATGCATTTAGCGTCATTTGCGTTGACAGTTCAGTTATTTACGAATTGAACAACAATTGAAATTATTAAATAGTAGTACAATAAACTAATAAAAATAATTGAAAATCACACTTTTAATAAAACTTATATTTATCTCAATAGTAATTTTTATAGCAAATGCTCAAAGAGATTTCCATTTTGCTGAATACATTTTTCAGCTCGACGTCAAATTGCCCGAGAAGACCTCAAAACTTCAAAATTATTTTGTCTGATTTGATTCGCAGCCAAATGAATCCTCTGCTGTAATTCTCCCAAAGAATTTATTTCTGTAGCGTAAATTATAGCCTTCATCCTACCCTAAGAAAGTAATCTAGAGGATTTAGGTCTGGAGCCGAGGTGGCCATGGAATGGGGCCACCTCTACCTATCCAACTGCCAGGAAAATGATCGTTTAACCAATTTATGACATAGTGTACCAATGTTAACTGTAAGTTTAACGGTGTACCATCCAATAGTTTTCTTACATCATTTTGCAGAAAGTTTAAGTATCCTTCTGCATTCAGATGAACAGGAATCTGAATTAACCCAAGTCGCTGGTCACTCTGATATAAGGGCTGAAACTGGACGACTAATTTTAGCTGTGGTCCATAAAAATGGACTAAGTACATTAAATAATTAATGTAGTTTTAAAAACGGGTCATTTTATTGCAGCTGATGCAAAAAGAATAGTTTGCAAATAAATTTGTAAAAAGTAGTTTCTTATTATTAACAACTCTACTCCGATACTAGTTGGTCAAATTCAAACAATAAAACACGGTTGTGTAGAGAATTAGAAAATCTTTCAAACGATATGTCGCTTAACCTTCTTATTAAGATTTTTGGTTCAGCTCTGTTTCGTTTTCAAGTACCCACCCTGTATATGGACAATCTCATATTAGGAGAAGTTTTCTTTTCAGTTACGTTATTATTGTTTTTTTTAATAAAATAAAATTGTAAAAATATACTTTTGTTATTTGTTTGGCATGATTATTCAATAAAATTATTAATAGAAAAATTCCTATTTTTGTGATTATTATAATATTTCAAATTAGATCTCATATTAGACTACTTTACCTTGTAGATAAAAATTAGAAAAAATAGATGAAACCTACAGTTAAATATGTTTACATTAATATAACTTACATGGAAAATATGAACGAGTTATTCATTAATTGGCTTTTACCAGGTACTTGAATATAACAATTTCACATTTTGTAATTGATTTAGCCGAGCAATGCTGAATTGAGGATCTAGAATGGATTACCCACGTGTTATTAAGATCAAATTATCGAAGCCGGTGAATTTAGAAACGTTTTAAAGCCATTTCGTCTGCTCTAATAACATTTAAGCTGGCGGTTTAGTTGTTTAATTGGGGAACCGAGGTAAACAAATTTATTTAGCGTGTTTAATTTTCCAGCGGCATTTGCAAAAACTCGACGAGATGGAAAATTTGGAAAGTTATCCGTCAAAGATTGTTCTGGGGCCTTACTAAATTAATTGAGCGGTTAATTAATTTCATTTGAAGTCTTATTGATTGATGTGAAAACACTTTAATCTAGTATTTTGGCTGTATAAAAATAATGTATTGGAAATTTGCCAAACGAGAAAAGGAATAAGTCTACCTCCACCTAGGTTACTAAAATCTTAACACTTGAGGTTATTGTAGAAGTGACAGATGGTAAATCATTGAAATCTGTTAATAAATATGCTAACTGCCTCGTGTAAAA